TTTTTAGTTTAGCTTCCATCTCATTCATACCAATAATTTCGGAAAAAAACCAACGTAACGTTTCAAAAACTATTAATAAAGTGTTGAAGGTGATTTCCAAGTAAATATTGATTTATATAAAAGCAATTAACTGCGACCTATCGACCCTTAGCACCTGTTTGGTCACATAACACCCACGCTTATGCACGTGGCTTCGTTTGTTAAATAAGAAGTACCTGATTGGGTACTTTCCTTAATCATAAGTAAATTATTCCGACTCTTCAATACAATAAAATATTAAAAAATAATCACACTTTCATTAATTGATTTTATGACTAACATAATCTTAGTGTGTTTCCAGCATTAAAAAAAATCAGTATGCTGTTAGACGCTAAAAAAACGTGACGTCACATTACACAATCTCGTACAAAATTTATAGAAAACTATCGTTTTTGACAGTTCGAAAAAAGTATTGAATTTGACTAGTTGACAAGTACCCCTTACGGCGCGTCGCGTTCCGCGCGCGCCTTAAAAAGTCATCAGACTACCACGGATGGGGCCCAATAGGGCTGATGCCGATACGGAGCTGCGTAGGACTTAACGGGTTGCCGGGGCTCCGGCTCGAAGTGCAGGAGTAGGAACGGAGTGGTTTTTAGTCAGTAAGAGTCTGACATTCCCTCTCGCCTCACCTGGACGGGAGAAGTAATTCGATGAATTTCTCCCTTAAAAAGTACCTAATCGTGAAGACTATTTATGATAGGGTTGTCCTGTTTTTAAGCGGTTTTATTTAGCTTGCCTCGTTTGTTTGTTTGGGTCTTTAGTAAACGGAATTTCATCCCATTCCTGACGACAGACTGATCTGATATTTGATACAGACTCAACCGCTTGAATGTCCGTATATAATACACAATAGAAAATACATTGTGTCCCGCGTGGATCCACGTTTAGACACACTACAGGTTAATGTCGATGACCATGTTACATTATATATCTAATTACTTGACCCGGCAAACTTCGTATCGACGAAATAGTTTATTGTCTTCGTACCGTCGAAAAAGTTTCTCCCCTTTTAAACCTTCCCTGGACTTCTACGATCATTCAAGACCAAAATTAGTAAATTCAATTCAGCCGTTCTCGAGTTTTAGCGAGACTAACGAACGGAAATTCATTTTTATTTATATAGATAATTTTTTTCCACAACTACCTTGATTATGGATATCAAACGTGCAGTGCATTTAAAAGATAACTTTATGCAACACAACCTACGGTAGATTTCATTTTACCTTGCATTTATTGGTAGAAATGACACCGCTGTTTTTACGTAAAAAAAAAATTTTCTCGTATTTTTTTATAATTTGGCTGTTTACTTTTTTAATATGAGGGGCTGATAATTGTTTACTGTTGTTGCGGTCATGCCCTATCCCTCAGTTTTCCATGTTAGTTGCCACATACTATAGCTGGAGTTTCAAAAAATAAAAAATTAAACAATGACATTTGTGAACAGAACTTTTGATTAACTGAAAAGACAAGGACAAAAATATGCCAAAAATGTGGAAAACAAAATAAGGGTTAGGTTTAAGTCGGAAAATAGCGGAAATTTATGATTTTGCGTTTTCAGGAAATAAAAAATAATAACAGCCAAGATGTAGGTATCTCTAAAATATAAAAATTCCGTTTTCCGTTGTCACGCCATAACTTGAGAATGGCTAGACCGATTTGGATTTGGATTTTGTTTCGTTGATTATGACCAGGAGAAGGTTTTTAGGACAGAAAAAGTCCTGAAAATTCTACGGGTACGGAAGAAAACGGGATTGCGCGTACGAAGTCGCGGGCAGAAGCTAGTGTACAATAAAACAATCTTAAACTTTTGAGTTATTTTATTACACTCTTTTAGATTTTTACAATTAATATATAAGTGGAAAATTCAAATGATTCGTGTTCTTGATTTCTATTTTTATCTTTTACAAATTTTAACGTTTGGCAACTCTTTTGTCCGTTTATTTAGTTTTCTGCCTTGTTTATTTGCCTAATAAGTTTTTTTTTATTTTCATGTAATAATTCGGCAAACGGGCAACTGATTACGTGATGATACGCATCTGTACCGGCCATGGATACCCGCAACACCATAGGAGTTACAAGTGCGTTGAAAACTATAGTTTTTTTCTTCTATGATTTACTTCGGTGCGGGTTCCAAGATTTAATTATTCACGTATACCACACTCAGACACAGGGCACATAACGAAAATGCCACACGAACCGGAACAGATCACATAAATAGCAAAAAACAATAATAATAGAACAGCGATGAAAAAACACCACTGCACTGTGCGCGCGGGCGGAGGTAAGTGTTTTTTTTCTTCTCCTCTTCTGATTTATTTCGTTGCGGGAACCAAGACAGTTATTCATGTTTCTGGGATTATGGACTTCAGTGACCAGTATTTTCATGGTTGTATCTACTGTAGATCCTGGCTTATAGGAGTTGCAGTGGTTTTGGGAGGTTGTGGTGGGCTTGTCCTATAAAAAAAGTGTGTTGCCAATCTTTAGGTAGGCGTCAGGGATTTGATGATTGAGGAGTTAGCAGGTAAGTAGGAATGGAGAAAACCACACGTCTGAAAATATTTGCTTTTTTTTAAAATTGCTGTACTGTACTACGGGGTTAGAACCTTTAGCTATTTTCTTTTGAAAAAAAAATTTTGTTACTTCTCAGTACATTATCATTGCAAATGTATCCTCTTTGCAAAAAATACGTTTCTAATTCATTTTTGACTTGCCTACCTTGCCATATACTTTTTTACCTTTATCATTAATACACACATACGGCCACTGGGATTCCTAAGCTATGGTTATTAAAACTAGACATAGGGGGTATAGTACCTATATGTATTTAATTAGGTATAATATCAACCACCATGCAGACTTATAAAACCCGACGGCAACGCCCCCATCAACTATTTTACCCATATTATTTGAAAAAAAGATTTTTTTACTAATAATAACAAAAATAATCACAAGTATTCTCAACTAGCTGTTACCCGCGACTTCGTCCGCGTGAAATAACGACTTCTGTATAAATTTGGTTTTTTAAATTAGTCTTTGCCAAGGTATATTCTACGGATGTACAACTGGAACAAATATCATCACAATCGATTCAGTACCTAGGTTATATTTATTGAGAAATGATTTTATTTTCGTGGTTTCTAAAATAAACAATCCCATAGAGGTTTTACCCGTACAGTGCCCGTCTCGTGAGGTTTCACTATTCTATGTTTGCAAATCAATGTTGTATCGCATTTCAATCAAATAGATATAGTGATTTTAACAGCACAGTTCCCGGTTTCGTGGGTTTTTCGGGTTAAAAACTTTTAGATGTCCTTTCCCGGGTCTCAAACTATCGCTGTACCGAATTTCACCAAATTGACCATTGAACCTTCAATGGTTTAAAAGGTAAGAGCCCCTCTTTATTTCAACGTCCTTGGTCCTGGTTTTTTAGCGCATAGTTTCCGTCATTTTGGGATTTCCTCTCTCCTATAATGTGACCTGATATGTACCGGTGCGACGTGCGTTACTATCGCAAACATTTAAATGAAAAAATAGGTATTCTGATATTAGGTTAGTTACATATGATACATGTACTTTAATGTTGATATTAATGTCCTCTATAAGACTTAATACATCCCTTGGCTCTATTGTCCATAATTTCCACAGCGTAATCAATACCAATAATATAAGGAGTTTTTTTGGTAGTTTTTCACACATCGGGTTGTCATTACCAAAAGGAGATTTTTTTTTATGCGACTGCATCCCAATCCCCCTCGCTCCATGGCCTGAACCAGAGCCGAACGCGAGAGGTCACCGTTTCCTACATCCCTGAGAACACGGCGGTGCTCAGCCCATGCAAGGTATACCGCCACGGTATGCTCCACCGTGTTCTCCAGGCGGTCCTTGCATTGATGGCCTCTTTAAAGCCACTTTTAAAGAGGGGACTTTCCGCTGCAATGACAGCGAGCCCAGCCCTCGGTTACCTAAAGGAGTGTTTCGCTGTGTAAGTGAGGTTACCGGAGGCCCAATTACCCCTCCCCCAGCCCCCCCAATCCCTGACAATCCTCAAATTACCAATTCCCAAAAGACCGGTAACGCACTTCTAGCACTTCTGGTGTTACAGGTGTCCATGGGCGGCGCAGATTGCTTACCATCAGAACCAATCATTACAGAACTTCATTTTTATATGTTGATGCCAAAATATATGATGAAAGTAGGACGCCATAACAATTACAAATCATTATGTTGTTACCTGTCAGATATCCGTTTTCAGGTTTTCAAATAAATCGTAATAATTATTCTTAAAAATCGACATAGTGAGTCGAAATTTCAAAAACGCTAGAACAAATGTTTTATTATTTTTTATCAAGTGCTTAAATATAAAGTATCATGGTTTTATCTTTAAAAATTATGAAATCCCATACAACTTCCCCCCCCCCCCCCCCCTTTTAACCCCTTACAACCCCTTTTTCGCGATAAAAAGTAGCCTATGTTTTATCTCGGGGTCTAGAATATCTGTATACCAAATTTCATTCAAATCCGTTCAGTAGTTTTGGCGTGAAAGAGTAGCAGACAGACAGACAGACAGAGTTACTTTCGCATTTATAATATTAGTTAGGATTAATTGTTCAGTTGTTTTGAACAGGTGCTTATTTACGTTAGGTACTCTTGTCTTGGTTGTAATCCTACACATAATAGGTCAACTCTTTTGAATGTCTTATTTAATTTATTTCCATGTTTAATTTAATTAATTGATCGTAAATTGCTTGATCTTGTTCGAATGTCATATTTTTTTTGTAACATATTCTAACTGTTTTATGTGCATCCTGTAACAACTCCTTACTGGCTAAGTAAGTAGTTGTTATACTTACCAAAGTATTATTTGTAATGATGTAATGAATGTATGAGTGTAAATAACTGTTGGTTAAACTAAAAAAAAAATCTTTACCTATAGTTAAATCTCACTAAAAAGTTTGACTTACCCGGCGTAGGTGCAGGCGCTGTAGGTGCCAACAAATGGTTGTAGCTTCTTAACAGACATGCCACTGATTCTAACGAGTACAGAGGCATTGCAGACTCCATTATTTTTATAATAAAATAGTTCTATGTCCTCACAAAACTAAATTCAACTGTATTTTCCACAAAAAGTTTTTTTATTTGTTACTTTTTGACATTTCTAACAAACTTTCCCGCTCTTTTTCCTGTCATTCAGAGGTATGATGCCATTTTCTTTTTTATTGTGTTTTTTTTTCAAACTCTATTTTGGTTTCAGAACAATATTTTTTTCACTGTCTTATTGCTTTTAACTTTATTTTTTACGAGGTGTTTTTTGACTGTGTAGAACACTATATAAAGTTATTTTTAATTAATCAATACAAGTTAAACGATTCCTTTTCCAAATTTTTTCGAGAAAAAATCCAGTGAATGACCTATGGATAATTTTAGCAATATAGGTATATTGAATTGTTTAACTGATGCCAATTTTCAAACTATAAAAAATTAACTACGTATAATATTTTTAATTGAATTGTACTGTCGTTTTCTTAATTTATTGTTCTAAAAATGTAATGAAATAGAAGTCTTTATAAGTTCATATGATAATGTATGTACGAAAAGAAAATAATTAAAATTAAGTCATTAATAAGTTCATAATGTATTTACGAAAACCTATAAAATTTATAGCAAAATATTTTTGTTGTATACAATAAAAAATCTTAATTCATCTATTTAGCAGCGAATTACACGTTAGAGTTATTATTTCATTTCTCGTTCATAAATCTAAACGTTGAGAAAAAGAAGTGTTTTTTTTTTTAAATTTGAATCGAAGTTGCTATAGAGTCCTATAATTACTTTTTTAATTACGAAAGACACTGTGTCCTTGAACGTCTAGTGTTTTTTAATTATCAGTAATTTGATAATAAAAACGAAAAAAAGATTAAAAGAAAAAAATTATGGTCATTAAATCTTTTTATAATATTAGTTATCACTTCTCAATATTCTATGTCTAATATTCAGTAAATGTTTGGTATTTTTATTTATAAACATTATTTTTTCAACGCAAACACACCACAATTCTTTAATCAAACAATTCTTATGACTAACTAAACGTAACATTACGCCACAAAGAAAAACACCTCTCTATGGTAATTTCGCGCGCTCTGCGCCATTGGTGCTTTTCCTAATTGCATAGCTTCACACTTCACGGTGATTGGTGCCTAGGGTAATTATAAAGTTGTTTGCTGGTGTTTGATTGGCTGTGCGAGAGGCCACGCCCCCTATTTTCCCGCGGTTACTCGGCTCGACTTATGCCACCACTGTGTAACGATCACCGTTGAATACTTAATGAAGTATTATTAACTTTTCAGGTGATTCGATAGGCTCTTTTTGAGGTGAAATAGTTTATTTAAATAATATTTTCTTGTTCGAAGCTCTTTTTTTTTGTAAAGTTTTCGGATTTGAAATTTGATATCACCCATGGACACCCGGAACACCAGAGGCGTTATAAGTGCGTTACTGGCCCTTTGGGGATTCATCAACAGCCTATAAATGCCCACTGCTGAGCAAAGCCTCTTCTTACACGGAGAAGGTTTGAGCATTAATCATCACGCTTGCTCAATGCAGGTTGGTAATTTCAAATTTATAATTAGAAATTATAAGCCCATGTAGGTTTCCTCACGATGATTTCCTTCACCGTTTGTCAGTGGTGTCTGAACTGTTATTCGTTGGGATTTTCTATCCGTGTTAATTCACCATGGAAACTTCACAAGTGCGATGTAGGATTTTGTGACATCACCCGTTGATTTGTTTTCATTGATGTTTGTGTTTGAAGTGTGACATATGTCGCCACAAGTTTATTAATTTAGTATAATTATGTCTCTTGATAGTTATTATAAAAACATATTTTACTCTGTCATCAGGCATCACCAAGCGGTAAGAAACATGTTAAGTCTAAGTCCAAGGTTATTAAGTTTATTTGAAATTCATGCATATAACATATAACATAATTTATATAACTACATAAATATTTACAACTTAAAATTAACTACAACTAAACTATTAAATAAAACGAAAGTAAAAAAAAGAAAACAACAAAAATTATACCCTTAATTTAGGCGTCAAAGTATTCGTCCGCATCACTATCACAGGAAAACGTTCCCAGAAGACTGGCAGCATTGCCACGTTGAATGGCAATGCTTATTTTCTGTCCGAAGAAAAAGCCAGCCCTCTGGTGACGTGTAGAATCGATTAGCCTACCGGCGATATCTTTAAACACAGAGTGTGCACTGGGACCCCATGGCCCAAGTGTTTCGACCCCAAACGGCTCAAAACAGTAGTTACCCACTAGATTTGAATATTTACGCCGTTTGAGGGCCTCTGCCGCGGAAGCAGCTGCACCAACGCATGCAGCGGTGCTTAAAAGATGTGATGGGGTAAGGGTGTCTACACAAGTCGCGTCCCACACCAAAGGCCTACCCATCATCCAAGGCAGCAACGACATCCCATAAGTCCAAGGTAAATAAATTAATAAAACAAACAAAACCTAATTAATACCGAAGTGTCGATTATAAAGAATCTTATAAAACCAATATGGCGGCGTGGTGTTATAATTGATGCTTACGGCGACGCCACCGTACACGTTATGAGCGACCCCGTAACTTGGGCAGAGAGTGGCGTGGAGACGACTTGTTGTTTTAAGGTAAAAAGCGGCAAACTAGCGTGATTACTCTTGAAACCAATCTCAATGCCAATGCAATTTCAATCCAATAAAATCTCAATAATTATTCAATGTCAACAATCGTAGCTGTTAAAATAGTATTCAGAGTACGGAATATAAAGCCAAACTCAATACCATTTAGTTCATTCAATATCCACGCAATACGGATGCAATGGGCGCTAGTGTTGCTAAGTCCCTAGGATACGGATCACCTCTTCATGGACAACACAAGAGACGGTAGCCCCAAACACACCCCAAAACTCAACACAAGCGAAGTGTTAATCAAGTATATTTAGTTCTAATGTGACGGAAAGCCATGCTTCGGCACGAATGGGCCGGCTCGACCGGAGTGATACCACGGCCGAGCAGAAAACCGACGTGAAGCAACGCTTGCGTTGTGTTTCGTCGTGTCAGTCCCCCATCTCCAATCTCTCGAATCCCTGAATCCCCAACAATGCTGAACCTAATCCCTAAAAGGCCGGTAACGCACTTGTAACACCTCTGGTGTTCTATGTGTCCATGGGCGGCGCCGATTGCTTACCATCAGGTGATCCGTCTGGTCGTTTACGGGCTTATCCTATAAAAAAAATTGATAGGATACTAAAGGTTGCAGGAGGCCACAGGATGCAGGTCGTTTCCTACCAGCCGATCTCGAAGATCTGCTAGGCAATTCTGTAACTTTCAATTCGAGAGATCGAAATGAACTCGATCGCAGTCCGCCATGTCATTGGTTGTGAGAATAATCTTGACGGGCAAGAACGAACTCACTTCGAAAACTCGAATTGATAGCACGGTTGGTGCGGTGGCTGGACAACCGTCTACCGCGCAATGTATCGCGGGTTCACCAGAAATTGTTGTGCCACGTCTGTGTGTGATGTGTATGTGAACTTGTATATTTGTAAATGCACCCACGACACAGAAGAAAATTATAGTGGCAACGTTTTTTTTTTAAATAAAATCCAGTTAGAGAGTTGCTTGACCGAATTTTACCAGTTCTATTATTCCTTATTTCACTTATTGAAATGAACACTCCTTTATTGATTCAAACCTCTATAAAAATAGATCCGTAGCACTGAAGTTGCATTCTTAAACTTGAATTTCAAGTCCTTGACAATAGCGGTCATAATAACTAACTAAAAAGAAAAAAATAACTATCATTAGTACTGATAGGTTACCCACCCACTGAGGTTAGAAGTCGACGCCATAAGTTCTATACAAAATTATTCTTTAAAACCTTAATAGATATACCTAATGGACAATTTTGTGGCCATTAAGTTACCTATATATCATTATGATATAAGCTTATGGCATCGACTTCATCAGATCCTAAATTCATGGAAATTGGACCATCTCGGAAGTATACCCTTTCAAACAAAACAAGAATTTTGGAAATCGGTTCACAACTGGCGGAGTAATGCGCGAACCAACAAAAAAAAAACAATCTGCCGAACATAGTACCTCCTCCTTTTTATGAAGTCAGTAAAAAGGTTACATAGCGCTACTCGACATATTTCCCTGTGCACACAAAATGGTCGAAGGTCTAACATCAAATAACTACCTAACTAATAACTCCTCGAGCGAAGGTAATATTGCACGACTACTGTAAATGTGGCGCTGTTACTTTATGTCCACTTTTTTTAAGGGGGGAAAATCATCGAATGACTTCTCCCGTCCGGGTGAGGCGGGAGGGAGTGTCAGACTCTTACTGACTAAAAACCACCCCGTTCCTACTCCTGCGCTTCGAGCCACATATAACCCGTCCTTAAGAATCCCTCTATCTATGAAAAAAAAACCGCATCAAAGTCCGTTCCGTAGCTTTAAAGATCTAAGCATACATAGGGACAGACAGACAATGGATAGCGACTTTGTTTTATACTATGTAGTGATATAGATTTTATTACTTCTTGCAGGTACAAGACAAAAGCTAATATAATAAGCTAATATACATTATATGAGATCACTATCGTTTCTTTCTTCTCCTCTAATAACATCGTCTAATTTATTGCGTTGCGGGATCCAAGACAGTTCATGTCTCTGGGACGCGCTTCAGTCAGTGGACGGACTTCAGTGATCCAGTGTTAGCTGTTAGCTACTGTAGATCCTGGTGAACAGGAGTTGCAGCGGCTTTGGGAGGTTGTAGCGGGCTCGTCGCATTAAAAAAAAACCGTTAGTCACTAAACGGACATAAAGTACAGCAACTGTAGCCAAATGCCCTTTAGCGCTTGTCTACATGTAGAATAGAAAACTAAATTATATGGAATTGACGTAAATTTTGACACTTGTCAGTGTTGTCCCTATACATTTAGTTTTCTACTCACTCTGTAGACAAGCGCTAAAGTGGCGTTTGGCTAAAGGCACTGTTTTTCGTAAAGAAAACTAAACGCGTTCGACTCACACGAGCAAGTTTATACGAAAACTTAATGATGGCCGTGGGAAGCGCCACCTGGTGGCAACAATTAACCCCTTCACCCCGCCGTTTACATAAACGCTCTGTCAGCGACCAAAGGTGAATAGATAGCTAACATATCATTACGCTAGTATACCCATAGATAGGGTAGGCTAAACTCATGGTACCTATTCTCTAAAATAACATGACAATGCAAGTTTCATAGGTACCTTCTGCTAGCGGATTCGTTCACGTTACTGTGGGATAAAATTAGCCTGTGTTATTCTGGACTATAGTCCACCCCCGTTCCAAATTGAGTAACAAACATACACACAAACTCACGTTCTAATTACGTAGGCTGTAGCCTTTTTTTTTTTAAGGGGGGAAAATCATCGAATGACTGCTCCCGCCTGGGTGAGGCGGAAGGGAGTGTCAGACTCTTACTGACTAAAAACCACCCCGTTCCTTCTCCTGCACGTCGAGCCGGAGCCCCGGTTACCCGTTAGGTTCTCCGCGACTCCGAATCGGCATCAGCCCTATTGGGCCCCATCTGTGGTGGTCTGATGGCTCTTTGAGGCGCACGCGGAACGCGACGCGCCGTACGCTCGGGTCTGTTTCTGGTCGGACGGGGAGCCACCCATGCTCGCCGTCCGCAGGCCCGCGCTTACGGTGGCTGGAGATCGTCCCGCGATCCCCGACGCCCGGTGTGTCCTTCGCGATGGCTGGGTTGCGAGGAGGCAGCGCTTCGCTGCCTCACGCGTCCCGCCTCTTCCTTAGCTAGCATGACTGCTTCGCAAAAGGAGGAGACGGCATCCCAGTCCTCCTCGCTCCGCATCATGGCCTGCACTAGGCCCGGACGCGAGAGGTCGCCATCACCGATCACTTCCCTGAGGGCACGGCGGTGCTCAGCCCATGCAGGGCATTCCGCTACAGTATGTTCCACCGTGTCCTCAGGGCGGTCCTCGCAGTGATGACACCCGGGCGTTTCCTCCCGCCCCATCAGACACAGGTGCCTCCCGAAACTTCCATGTCCGGTGAGGACCTGCGTCAGGCGGTAGGTGAGGACGCCGTAGCGTCTCTCAAGTCACTCCTCAAAGAGGGGACTTACCGCTGCAATGGCAGCGAGCCCAAGGCTGTAGCCTAAGGATGCAAAGGAAACCATTGGTGATAAACCTGAGACCCCTTGCCGCAGCAGTCGCACTTGCGACCGCTCGACCAACGAAGCAGTTTAAAAAATGCTAAGTAGTTACTTATAAAAAGAAGTATTTACGTTAACAAATAGAAAATATAAAAATAGAATCTCTTTCAAAAACCAATAAGCACTTAACTGTCAAAGAAATAAAAAAAACGATCAGACAAACCAAAAAAAACATTTGAAATTTGACGTTTTTAATAAAAATCGGTCACCTTTTCAAATAATACGAATATTTTTATCGAGAAAATCTATTAGAACTGGGATTTAGATCCGCCTATTTTGCCCATACCTATATAAAAAGTATTATGGTTAACTAGTAAAACAGCCATCATAAAAATGCAAAATATTTCTAGACGCCCCATAAGAGTTAGCCTATACCGCTATGGATGTAAGTATCTCTATTATTTATTTATTTTATTTATTTTCAGCCATGATCGTCCCACTGCAGGGCAAAGGCCTCCCTACTCTCCTTCCACTCCTCTCTATGTAAAGCTTTTTGCGGCCAATCCTTGTCATAGATGTCTAATTCGTCCCGCCATCTCCTTTTGGGCCTACCGCGACGTCTACTGACGTTGAGTGGGCTCCACTCAGTAGTAAGTTTTGCCCACTGCTCGTCTGTATTAATTATATTTAATAATTATCATCATCATAACGTCTACTGCAGAACACAGGCCTGCCTCAATGACTTCCACACAGCTACCAATTTCTTTACGACAATAGTCTTCTTCAGATTCCATTTCTGAACTCGTTTTTGACATGTAAAGAATCGCATGACGCCTTACATGTTTACGGAAATGGTAGGTACTTTCCATAATCAAAATAAGTAGGTAGGTACTATTGTTTGTAGAAACTATCTTATCATAATCATAATAAATTTATATATTACCTACTAATCGTAAAAAAGCTTTAGTAGAATCTACGCAATTGGATACCTACTTGCCAACTATACTTAAAGTCAAATTGAATACTTCTTTCGAACGGTCAAAAACGACAGTTTTCTATGAATTCTATTCTAATTTCTATTCTACGAGATTGTGTATTGTGACGTCATGTTTTTTTTTGCGTCAAACAGCACACTTATTTTTTTTTATTGCTAAAAATACTAAGATTGAGTTGGTCATAAAATCAATTAATGAAAGTGTGATTATTGTTTAATATTTTATTGTATTGAACAGTCGATATGATTTATTTTTGATTAAGGAAAGCACCCAATTTTAACAAACCCCTTCAAAAGAGTTCATCCGACTGATCATCACCATACACATCGATGTTCGATGATGAACACAAACTGCTAAATAGGTAGATGTATAAAACTAGAATAATTACAGTATTCCTAGATAAACTCAACATTATAAAACTTTACAGCGAATCCATTGCAATGGTCATACGTCTCAACATTGCCAACAAGGGACTTGACCAAAGATCTACCGCGTGGCAACCAATCCCCGAGAATTGAAAGAGGGGGTATAGGTGGTGATTTCGACAGAAACAGAAAAGCCAGGCCACTTACTCCTTCGAGCGGAACCTCTATAACTACTGATTATGATAAATCACGAAGGGCTTTGCCTCACACCCCATCACAATACTTTTTTGACGACCGGGAACCGAGACCTATAACTGCTCAACCTAGGAAACCAGTGGTAGGCATCCCCTCACACCTGGGCTCTGAACGCCTGGTGTACATGGAGATGTGGCAGCATGAAGCTAGATACTGCCAACCGATGCTGCAATTGGGAACCTGTAATCCTTTGCATACTAAAAAAGTAAGTTGTTTGCTTGTACAGAGCCGTATTATGCTTTATTAGGAAAGTTCAAGGCGCCAGTTTATAGAAGGGCGCCGTTAGATGCGGTGCCGAACTGCTTACAGAGTGGTGGCAGCACTCAAAAAAGATTAGGACGCCCATGAGGTACCGTAACATAAGAGAGGTGAATCGGTACTATGAAGAATTTCTCAATATCTATTCACCCCTATTGTCTCTATTCACCTCTCGACCCCTATCCACCCCATTTTACGGTACTTACCTCGGGCGCTCTTTATTTTTGATCCACCTCTGTGTGTGATAGTAGTTATCTATGGTTTGGTCTTAGACTATAATTCGTTTTTAGCAACCTTTACGTAAGTGTTACTGGGTCTTTTGCGTGTAAAATTGTTAGTAGTTAAATAGCGTAGAATGTGGATTGTGGATCTTACCAAGATTAGCCATGGAGTGAAAAAGTTGGTGCATCATTTATTTTGCCTTTTGGGATAAATCTAGGCAGTCTAAATTTTGAGGTAAATCTTTAGGAAATAGATAAATGATTAGACAGAAGATTTTTTCTTCTTGAGTATTGGCAAACATTCTAAGACAAATTAGGCAAGTGCCTATGGACCATAAGACAGATGATCATTCCATCTTGAGTCTTGAGTATCGTTTGGTGTATAAAGCAAACATCCTAAGACAAATTAGGCATGGCCTAGGGCGCCAACATAATGATGGGCGCTGCGTGACGTGCATGACCAACATAAAGTGGCGGTGGCGCCAAAAAAATTAAAAGCGTTTAGGTGTTTCCCTAGGGGCGCTCTTTAAGCTTAATTCGCCTCTGATATGAACACACACACAGCAGAAATTAAGACTAATGTTCTTTTCTGTTGACAATGACTAATAAATAGTAGAAAAGTTAGTAGGGTGTTCCTTGTCTATGGTCCACAGATAATAATAGATATTAAGTATTCTATGATTTCAGTAAAATAATAAGTCTGTGTACCATGGAGAAGACTTCATTTTTCATTTTTTAGCTTTAATTTAATTTTATTTTTATTTTTTAATTATGTGTGTTCTGTGCAAAAATAAATAGTTTTTCTTTCTTTCACAGTTTTCCACCAGTGCGCTTGTACCATCTAAGGTATCTTGGGACTGCAATATCGAGCAGACGGCGAGACCATTTACTTCTACAGTATGTTATACTAATAAAGCCAAGCAGCCTCCGGCTAAACCAAAGCCAGCTAAGGCTGCTGCTAAACCGAGCGTGGCTAAGAAACCGGTTGTCACCGGAGGTGGCGCCAAGGGTAAAATAATCGCCGGTCAGTGAAGTTTTTTAAATTACAACGTATCATGTAAAAGCAATATACGCATTTTAGTCTGTTTTTTTGTTTTCTTTTTTTTTGTAGATGTCCAATCCTGCTGGGCTATTCTGTATGATGTCAATTCGAATTTTCAAAGTGAGCTCAATCGCGGTCCGCCATGTCACTAGTTGTGTATAATAATCTCGACCAATGACGGACTAGAATACGATCGAGCTTGTTTCGAGAGTCCGAATTGAGGGCTCGTAAACAAAAGTGCGATGCGATGGTATGCGAATTCGCAATGCAAAAAATTACGATGCGAATTGATGCGATGCGATTTCATGCGACAAGGCAGCTTGGCACGACCATGCCTTCGACAACCGTCAACCGTACTAAACGTATTTAAATTGAAAACTAGGTCGTGACATGGATCGTAAAAAGAAGTGTGCACTTCTGTTATTGCTTAGGAGATACAGGAAAAAGAAATGAAAGACGATTCTGGGAAGATGTTGATGCGCGATGCAAATCAATTCGCAAGTTTTTGCGATGCGTAGAGGGAGCTCGCACATTTATGCTATGCGACGTCGCATCGCATTTTTGTGTACGAGCCCTGACATCTTGCAGAATAGCCTACTAAGCTTTTATGTTGCCCTTATTAATGTCACGTATTTTATCAGTGGCGGAATTATACTGTTCGAGGCCAATTTATCGGGTGGACCCTCTTTGATATTTAAAACAGAAAAGTTTAGATACGACCCTCTGGACGGATGGCCCTTTCAGCTGAGAGCCTGTGGCATTTTGCCACCTTGTAGTTACTCCACTGTCATTTATATCTTGTTATATTATAACACTAAGTTTTTGCCAGTTATGCCATGAGTCCCTTGTAATAGGGGGTAAATTTATTGCCATACTTGCTGTGACCCCGACTTCGTCTGCGTGAAATAGTGATTCACAGCTTCTACCCCGTAGGTGATAGGACAATATTTAACCTATATGTTGTCCCGACTTTTTAGTAATATTCATGCAAAATTTGAAGTAAACCAATGCTTTATGAGTTTAGCCCGGACATACATACAGACAAACAGACAAAAATTCTATAAACAATGTTTTTGGATTCGGTATCGATTGTAGATCACGTCCAAAGCATTTAAAGAAAAAATCAATGTACACTGTACAGTTTTCACTTTCCTACGATTATATTATATGTAATAATAATAATAGTTCTCTCCATGCTCTTGCGTATTGAGAGTCATAATTCAATTTTCGAAAGTCATAATTTTAGCAAGGCTTACATTATACAAGGTGTTGTTTTAAAGCCACGTCATTTTCTAGGAGGTATAACTGGGCTATCGATTCTGAGTCCGAATCAATAAAATAAATTGTAAATAAATATTTTTCATTATTCTGTAAATTACGGAAATCCGTAAGTGCGAACTACACGCCGCCGTCTTGTAACTAGCTTTATAACGCGGCTTAACACACACAAACTCAAACACGTAATTGATATTATTCCTAATTCCATAAAACTCAAATAAGAAACATTGCTATCGCTTATTCTGAAATACCGTCGAACTTAAACGATTTATTATAACCGTGTTTTTAACTATTGGCCCGATACTTTTTCTTACATTGAACCTTTATGACTTCTGTGACAAGCCCCCGAGAAATGACACGGCTTCAATACCACACCTTGAATGATTCTAGTTTCTGCCGACGCCTTTGCTCGTGTTCCCGTGGGTTAAAAAATAGTCTGTGTTATTCCATATTAGGTTCTGGAATAACATCTAGCCCTGTTCCAATTTTCATTTAAATCCCATCAGCCGTTTTGGCATGAAAGAGTAACAAACAAACATAGAAAGTTTCGCATATATCATATTACTAGCTACTTCCGCGCGGTTTCACTCGCTCTGCTCGGCGCCTGTTAATTGTAGCGTGATATTTTATAGCCTATAGCCTTCCTTGATAAATTGGCTATCCAATACAGAAAGAATTTTTCAAATCGGACCAGTAGTTTCGGAGATTAGCGCGTTCAAACAAACAAACAAAAAAACAAAATCTTCAGCTTTATAATATTAGTATAGATAGATTAAGTAGGATTGCCAAAAGGGTAAATAAACGCTTCATTCGAACCTAAGACATCGGGACAAAAGTTGACTCTGAGAATATTGAAATTGAAAGAAGAAGATGAACCTCTTGCAGACTAGATATTAAGTCAGTTTGACGTCATGAAAGACTTATAACTTTATAACATAACATAACATCACGTTCATCATTCCTGAAGGGGTAGGCAGAGGTGCACATTATCCCACTTTACAATGTAACACCCACTTTTCACTATTTATGTTATGAATCCCATGTAACAGGGGGTGAGCCTATTGCCATATACCGGACACAATTCCAGACTCTGTGCTACTACTGTGGATTTTTTGAAAAACCCAGTAATGCTAGGCCGACCCGGGAGGCAGTCAGTCAGCTTATAACTTTAGTTTCATATACATGTATGATGGATTATAAAATGTAGTGTTTTCATATCCTAGTGATTGGTGCCGTGGTGGATGTCCAGTTTGACACACATCTGCCTCCGATCTTGAACGCTTTAGAGGTACCAGGACGCAGTGAGTATTTCAACTATAGATACTTCTATCTCGCTTAATTTCACTGTCGGTGGCACGTGCATTGGATCGCTCGATTCCCTACAAAATGGTTGAGTTGGGCGGTGCTGGGGTACGTGTCATGTTCGTGAACAGGCGCCGTCAATTGGGACTGGTCAGTCAAAGTCAAAGTCAAAGTCAAGGCATTTATTTCAATTAAACAATAGTTTGGTGCTTTTGAAACGTCAACAAATACAAAATAAATAATAGTCTGTCAGTCAGTCCGTCAGTGAAACTAGGTGAAGCTAGGTGCTCATTCCAAAAAGTAGATTCGAATGGAGAAGAACGAGCAAGAAACTCCATTCGTTACTCTTTTTAAAAAAGTATGTTCTACAATGTCTCTGATACATATTTCAATACTGTACGCATATGTAAGAACAATGCAAAGACATGCTTGACGAATTATACTAATAACTTACTAAAATTAAAAAAAAATATATAAAAATCTTGAAGTCCAACATGGTGCTCACATATGCATACTGACAATCCATAGAATTAGTGCTTCTATACAAGAAAAGGAAACTCTTTGTTTCAATAAAGAAATGCTCGATGCCATAAGGAAACTAGATTGTCTACATTAGAATTAAAGTGTTAAATTATGTATTAAAATACCTACTATTGGAATTTAGCTACTGACTACATTTGAGTATTGTCCAGTGGAGCCGAACCAACATGCTGCCAAGCATTCTTATCTTCAAGATAATCTGTCAGTGTGTAGTAGGCTTGATTACATAATTCGGGCTTAATATATGTTTTAAATTTACTTTCATTGAGATCTAGTATGCTATTTGGTATTTTATTATAGCATTTAATACCTAACCCCATAAAGGATTTCTGTACTTTGGACAGTCTGAATTCCGGTATAGCTAACTTATTTTTGCCTCTAGTATTAAAATTGTGTCTATCGCTTCTTTTTTCAAACAATTGCCTATTTTTCCTTACATACATTATATTTTCATATATATATTGACAGGGCACCGTTAAAATATTTATCGTTTTAAACAATTCTCTCAGCGATTCGCAACGGCGTAAGTTATATATTGCTCGGATAGCCCGCTTTTGTAGAATAAATATTGATTCTATTTCTGCAGCTCGACCCCACAACAAAATGCCGTACGATATAATGCTGTGGAAATAACTAAAATAGACAAGCCTAGCTGTATCTACGTCCGTGAGCTGTCTAATCTGTCTAACTGCAAAAGCAGCTGAGCTCAATGTCCCCGAAAGCGCCTTTATATGCGGACCCCATTGTAGCCTATTGTCTAACGTAATACCTAAAAATACTGTCTCGTCGACAAATTCTAACTTTTGACCGTTCAAAACAATATCACAATCGTTACTACGCACGTTTGGTAAACTGAATTTAATACATTTTGTTTTTTTCTCATTAAGTGCTAGATTATTAATGGTGAACCAATTATGCACTTGAAGAATGGAGCTGTTTACGTCGTCAAGATTATTTGTACGTCGATCTATTTTAAAAATTAATGATGTATCATCTGCAAAAAGCACCATTCTTGGTTCATTTTTAAATATAAATGGCAAATCATTTATATAGACTAAAAAGAGAAAGGGACCCAATATTGAACCTTGAGGAACGCCCATATTCATCCCAGAGCCCTGTGAGTTAATACCGTTAACATGAACCTTTAACTGTCTCTCTTCTAAATAAGATCTCATAAGACGGAGCGCAGAGTTTCTTATCCCGTAGTGATCTAATTTCAGCAAAAGTGTCTCGTGGTCAACGCAATCAAATGCTTTTGAGAGGTCACAAAAGACACCAATAGCATCCTGTGCTTCCTCCCAAGCACCAAATATTTCCTTAATCAAAGTGACACCGGCGTCAGTTCCAGACTGTATAATTTTATTGTCCTCAAAGTTATTTTCTTTTGAATCTCTTTGACTGCATTTTAGTGTTGCATTGTTCTCACACAATCGAACCAACAAAACTATGTAACTAGAGAATTGTATTGTAAATCCGATTGAAAAAGAGTAACCTATGAAGTTTCTTGCTCGTTCTTCTCCATAGGAATCTACACCTTGGAATGAGCAACTAGCTTCACCTTGTTTCACTGACGGACTGACTTACAGACTATTATTTATTTTGTATTTGTTGATGTATCAAAAGTACCAAACTATGGTTTAATTGAAATAAATGCTTTGACTTTTTAATTTTGACGCGTAAAACTGCTATTTTGCAAAAAATCATTTTCATCAACTTCTTTCAGCACCACGTCTTATCTTAGAGGTATCCCAACATCTTGGAGAAAGTGCTTGCAGATGTATCGCCATGGACGGTACCGAAGGTCTGGTCAGAGGCCAGTTAATAGTGGACACGGGAGCACCTATCACCATACCCGTCGGAGAGAAGACCCTTGGAAGAATCATTAATGTTATTGGGGAACCGATTGGTTAGTTTTTGTATTAAGACAGTAATTTATATTTGCTGATGAATGCTTGACTTGACTAACCGAAAATGGAGCTGTACCCCTGTACAGCTCCATTTTCGGTTTTTGGAAAATTCTCGTAATATGGGTTTTTGTCCGGCTAATTTGTTCGACGCGTAGGACTAAGGGGATTTTTTTAGATTTTTTTTTATTTTTTAATTGGACAAGCCCGCCACAACCTCCCAAAACTACTGCAACTCCTGTAAGCCAGGATCTACAGTAGATTCAAGTTACAACCATGAAAATACCGGAACACTGAAGTCTCAGTGACATAAATAACTGTCCTGGTTCCCGCAACGAAGTAAATCAGAAGATATTATAGGAGGAGAAGAAAAAAACGATAGTTTTCACTTCCCTTGGTCAATTACTGCAGGAGACAGAACGAATAAAGCCTAAAGGCACAAATATGAGAATGTACGGATGGGAGAAGCCCATCCCAAGCACCATGAAAAGAGTTTTTGTTTTGATTTTTTTATTTAGACAACGTTACCCCACACTACAATTTTCTCCTGTGTCGTGGGTGCGTTTAAAAATATACAAGTTACACACCCAGACCCGGAACAACAATCTGTGGATCGCACAGAGTTGCTCCGTGCGGGCATGGAAACCGCGACACGTTGCGTGGTAATCAGTTATTCAGTTGCCCAGCCACCGCGCCAACTGTGCAGTCGTTTGTTCAGCTGTGATTGTCTTTCTTCTGTACAATATAAAACCCACTTTTCACTATTTATGTTATAGTCCCATGTAATAGGGGGTGTCTGATTCGGAAATCGCACCCGAGACCCCTTGCCTGGCAGGCGCACTTGCGACTACTCGGCCAACGAGGCAGCACTTTACATTGTATAGTTGTATTAAGTGCTGTAATGTGCACCTCTGCCTACTCCTTCGGGCTTAAAAGGCGTGATGACAATTTCTAATTACAAGTTTGAAATCGCCGATCCGCAATGAGTAAGCCTGGTGATTAATGCTCAAACCTTCTCCGTGTGAGAAGAGGCTTAGGCTAGAGGGTACTTATAGGCTGTTGATTACTGCTTATGCTCTTAAGACTTAAAATCTGTCGCGGAGAACCTAACGGGTTACCGGGGCTCCGGCTCGAAGTGTAGGACAAGGAACGGGGTGGTTTTTAGTCAGTAAGAGTCTGACACTCCTTCCTGTCTCACCCGGGCGGGAGCAGACATTCGATGATTTTCCCCCCTTAAAAAAAATACTTAAAATCTACGTCATGCACCTCAAATGATCTAATTTCACCCATTTTAGATGAGCGTGGCCCAATAGACACCGAAGAGTTCGCAGCGATACATGCCGACGCTCCGCCGTTCGTGGAGATGTCGGTTGAACAGGAGATTCTGGCTACAGGCATCAAGGTTGTGGACCTTCTGGCTCCATATGTCAAAGGTGTGTTGGTATCTCTGTATAGGGCCTCGTATACAAAACTACGATTCGATGCGATGCGATGCGATGCGAATTCGCAACGCAAAAAATTACGATGCGAATTGCTGCGATGCGATTTCGTGCGACAAAGCGTCTCGCAGGGTGACCATTTCTTCGAAGACCGTCAATCGTACTAAACGTATTTTAAATTGAAAACTAATTAGATGTTTTGTAGGCACTATCCGCATCGCACATGCGCCACTGGACGAGAAATATCTCTTCGAGAACTACATAGCGTGATATTTTGATAATGTACGGTCAAAGGTCAAAAGTCCACTGCCACCGTAAGACTACTATCGGTTGCGCTGCAGCGCTAATACACACGCATATTTTTATCCGTGTTCGTACGCTTGCGTGTGTTTATGCGTACGCACGCGTTGTCGTACTAGCATTTCCGTGTGAACATCACTCATGGTGGACTTTTGACCTTTGACTGTACATACTTTGAGTGCCTATGCGCTTTCGAAGTTTGCTTTTTGCAATGGTCCATCACACCAGTTATTTTTTGTTTTAAACGTATACTCTTTTTGAAAATCTATTGTATTACCAAGACGAAACCATTTTATTCCATATATATGCCATAGAAGATTATCGTGTGCGTGGCATACTCTTATCCTGAAATCTATGTTACAGGGGGTAAAATCGGCCTTTTCGGTGGCGCGGGAGTCGGCAAGACTGTATTGATCATGGAACTTATAAACAACGTCGCCAAAGCTCACGGTGGTTTCTCTGTAAGTACCCTTAACTAACGAGCATGCATGAAAAGATTAATGACAGTTGATGAAGCGAAAGTGGTACCTATGTAAGAATTGTAGCAATTGGCGTTTCATAGTCTCTGCCTACCCGGCTACCCCCATGGGAGACAGGCGTGAAGGTATTTATGTATGGATGTGTTCCTTTGCACGTTACATATACCCTTTGTTTGTCGCGGAGAACGTAACGGGTAACCGGGGCTCCGGCTCGACGTGCAGGAGTAGGAACGGGGTGGTTTTTAGTCAGTAAGAGTCTGACACTCCCTCCCGCCTCACCCAGGCGGAAGCAGTCATTCGATGATTTTCCCCCCTTAAAAATACCCTTTGATTATACATACAGGGTGACTTGTAACTCGACGTATTCCTCTCGGGAGGCGATAATACCAGTAATTTCCTACAATATTAGCCCTGAGGTCTCTGGTCCGCAAGTGGCTAGTTTCTAAGATATTCAACATTTTCAGTTTTGATGAAAAAATCCCGATCAATCTACAAAAAAAAACTACTGGTTAGATTAAGTGATTTTAGTTTTAATTTGTTGTCAAATACATCAATAAACTTTTATTAATATTAACACTGGCAGACATATGATTCGTTTTAAAATGACTGAAGGGACCGGAATGAAATTCGGAACAGAAGTTGATTATGGTCTAACTAAAGTAATACAAAGGAATTTGCCCTTGGGGTCGCGGACGAAGCCGCCGGCAGAAGCTAGTAGGTAATATAATAAATTTTATTATTATTGAACTAACGCTTACCTTCGCTTGAATGTACTATTTATTGTAACCGACTTAAAAAAGAATGTTATTTTCGATCCTTCTTTTTAAGTTCGAATCGATCGAAGTTATATTTTTTTGATGGAAAACTGCAATAATATTTTATTAATTATTTTTTTTACACAAATAATGTAAAAAATGCTCAATAGTAGCACGGTGTCGTGAATTGTGCCCGGTATAATTATGGCAATAGGCTCATCCCCTATTACATGGGAGTCATAACAGAAATAGTGAAAAGTGGGTGTTACTTCTGTGTGCACCTCTGCCTACCCCTTCGGGGATAAAAGGCGTGATGACAATATATTAATGAATATTTAATTATTCTTTTCATACGGAAGATAAATAATATCAAAAAAGTGTCCAATAAAAAAAAACTTCAAAATCGAATTCAAAGAGATGGTTGCAATTTGTTTTTATTTTACTTCTATATGGTCTGTACCCAAATATTTATTGGAGATTTAAAAATAGAAGAATTTTTGTCGTAGCTGGTATCATTTTTGGTCCGTGTAAACCACAAGCCGCACGCACACATGCAAGAAATCTTGCAACGTCATTTTTGTTGCTATTGTTGGGGACGCTCTATCTAGACATTATAATGATCAAATACTATAACCTGCCTTATGTGTGCGTGTATGTATGTGTGTGTTTGTTAAGTACTGCATATTTCACTCAGGCCCGCCGTAAGCGCGCTTGCAAAGCGTGTACAGCACACGGGCGCACGATCATGGGGGCGGCACATCGAGTGACTCAAAGCTTGCGTCGAGTGGGAAAAAATCCCACTCGACGCAAGCAATATTAGCGTTATGTATTACGTTTGGGGCCCTATACAGGTAAGTCTATCGATCGATCGTCTATCGATCGTCAATCGATCGAGCGTCCTCGAAAACGATCGAGCGTCCTCGAAAACGATCGAGCGTCCTCGAAAACGATCGAGCGTCCTCGAAAACGATCGAGCGTCCTCGATCACTTTCGAGCGTCCTCCAAATCAATCGAGCGTCCTCGATCACTTTCGAGCGTCCTCCAAATCAATCGAGCGTCCTCGAAAACGATCGAGCGTCCTCGAAAACGATCGAGAGTCCTCGAAAACAATCGAGCGTCCTCGAAAATAATCGAGCGTCCTCGATCACTTTCGAGCGTCCTCGAAAACAATCGAGCGTACTCGAAAACGATCAAGCGTCCTCGAAAACGATCGAGCGTCCTCGATCACTTTCGAGCGTCCTCGAAAACGATCGAGCGTCCTCGAAAACAATCGGGCGTCCTCGATCACTTTCGAGCGTCCTCGAAATCGATCGAGCGTCCTCGATCATTTTCGAGCGTCCTCGAAAACGATCGAGCGTCCTCGAAAACGATCGAGCGTCCTCGATCACTTTCGAGCGTCCTCGAAATCGATCGAGCGTCCTCGATCACTTTCGAGCGTCCTCGAAATCGATCGAGCGTCCTCGAAAACAATCGAGGGTCCTCGAAAACGATCGAGCGTCCTTGATCACTTTCGAGCGTCCTCGAAATCGATCGAGCGTCCTCGAAAACGATCGAGCGTCCTCGATCACTTTCGAGCGTCCTCGAAATCGATCGAGCGTCCTCGAAATCGATCGAGCGTCCTCGAAAACGATCGAGCGTCCTCGAAAACGGTCGAGCGTCCTCGAAAACGATCGAGCGTCCTCGATCACTTTCGAGCGTCCTCGATCACTTTCGAGCGTCCTCGATCACTTTCGAGCGTCCCCGAAATCGATCGAGCGTCCTCGAAAACGATCAAGCGTCCTCGAAAACGATCGAGCGTCCTCGATCACTTTCGAGCGTCCTCGAAATCGATCAAGCGTCCTCGAAAACGATCGAGCGTCCTCGATCACTTTCGAGCGTCCTCGAAATCGATCGAGCATCCTCGAAAACAATCGGGCGTCCTCGATCACTTTCGAGCGTCCTCGAAATCGATCGAGCGCCCTCGATCATTTTCGAGCGTCCTCGAAATCGATCGAGCGTCCTCGAAAACGATCGAGCGTCCTCGATCTCTTTCGAGCGTCCTCGATCACTTTCGAGCGTCCTCGAAAACGATCGAGTGTCCTCGATCACTTTCGAGCGTCCTCGAAATCGATCGAGCGTCCTCGATCACTTTCGAGCGTCCTCGAAATCGATCGAGCGTCCTCGAAAACGATCGAGCGTCCTCGATCACTTTCGAGCGTCCTCGAAATCGATCGAGCGTCCTCGAAAACAATCGAGGGTCCTCGAAAACGATCGAGCGTCCTCGAAATCGATCGAGCGTCCTCAAAATCGATCGAGCGTCCTCGAAATCGATCAAGCGTCCTCGAAAACGATCGAGCGTCCTCGAAATCGATCAAGCGTCCTCGAAAACGATCGAGCGTCCTCGATCACTTTCGAGCGTCCTCGAAATCGATCGAGCATCCTCGAAAACAATCGGGCGTCCTCGATCACTTTCGAGCGTCCTCGAAATCGATCGAGCGTCCTCGATCATTTTCGAGCGTCCTCGATCATTTTCGAGCGTCCTCGAAAACGATCGAGCGTCCTCGATCACTTTCGAGCGTCCTCGAAATCGATCGAGCGTCCTCGATCACTTTCGAGCGTCCTCGATCATTTTCGAGCGTCCTCGAAATCGATCGAGCGTCCTCGAAATCGATCGAGCGTCCTCGAAAACGATCGAGCGTCCTCGAAAACGATCGAGCGTCCTCGATCACTTTCGAGCGTCCTCGAAATCGATCGAGCGTCCTCGAAAACGATCGAGCGTCCTCGATCACTGTCGAGCGTCCTCGAAAACGATCAAGCGTCCTCGAAAACGATCGAGCGTCCTCGAAATCGATCGAGCGTCCTCGAAAACGATCGAGCGTCCTCGATCACTTTCGAGCATCCTCGAAATCGATCGAGCGTCCTCGAAAACGATCGAGCATCCTCGATCACTTTCGAGCATCCTTGAAAACTATCAAGAGTCCTCGATCACTTCCGTTGCCTTTTCCGCCACCGTAAGCGCGAGTCTGCGGACGGCAAGCAAGGATCACCTGACACGTAGCAGACCCGAGCGTACGGCGCGTCGCGTGAAATGCGGGCCTCAAACAGTCATTACTTCATCAGACACCACAAACGGACCCACCAGTATTGTTGCTTTGCTGGAGGGTAGGCTGTCATATATACTGGGGCCTTGGCTTTGAGCAAGTGTTGGAGGGAATGGGGCGGTTTTTAGTTAGTAGGACTCACTTCGTCAAGAGTAATTTAAAGGAATTTTACCCACCCAACAAAGAGGGGGGCGGCATAATCGGTATTTGCACGCGGGCGCTCGAATGCTAGCGGCGGGCGTGCCGTTTCAAAACTGCTGAAGATGATTGAGATGAAATTTGGGACTTCGGTAGACTATGTTCGTAATAACATAGGCCATTCATTATGTAACGGGCACGCGGGCGTGAGAGGTGCACATTATGCCACTGTACAATGTAACACCCACTGTTTACGCACAAGAATGGAATTTCTTTAGTGAAACTCAAAAGAACTTTAGAATTATGTATATTACAATAATTTTTGGAGACATAAAAAAGCAGAGATGGTGACTGTTCGAAATCGGTAGTAGAATAGACTGGTGCAACAATCTACCCGCTGTTGAAGATTGTAAAAATAAATGTCATATAAAAATAATTTAACTAGACGTAAATCATCTAACGACGAATTGCTATGCGTATTGAAGTAGGCGCGTACATAGACTCCCCCCGTTGAAGGTCTATGATCTTCAACCTTGAATATCATCTTCATTCGGTAGGGGACACAGGCGAACCAGCGATCGACGCACGCATCCTCTTGCTGTGTTGATATCTGCGACTCGAGAAATGCCGTCTGAACCAGGGTAAAGCCGGGCAACACGTCCGAGGCGCCAGTTTAGTGGTGGCACATTATCCTCTTGTATAATAACAAGATCGCCGATATTTAAAGATTGAGTCTTTGTCTTCCACTTTGTTCGAAGTTGAAGTTCAGAGATGTATTCTTTCTGCCAACGTTTCCAAAAATCTTGCCTTATTTGTTCAAGGCGGGCATAGCGTTGCAGTTGGGTTGACGGGCAGTCGTCTTGAGGTGGCGTTGGAAGCGTATTTAAAGGTCTGCCAATAAGAAAGTGCCCTGGGGACAAGGATAGGAAATCATCAGGTGATGATGACAGTGGACACAAGGGGCGGCTATTTAGAACTGCCTCAACTTGTGCGAATAAAGTACAAAGTT